CTGTTGGTTACAGTGTTTACTTCCTTTTTAATTATATTTTTATTAAATATTTATTTATTTGTGAAAAATACTTTGTCATCTAAAGTATAAGTATGTTTATTTTACACACTTATTTTTTAATCCATTGTCAAATGATTTCAAATTTCTTAAATATTAATTAAAATTAAATACAAATTATATCGGCTTTATATCGGCTATCGGCCACCCTGCTTTCCAAGATATCGGCATCGGCCACCCTGCTTTCCAAGATATCGGCATCGGCTGTCAAAAAAACAATATCGGTCGACCACTAACCACTACATCTAACTATGGATGCCATGAATCAACCATTCATTGTTTGGATTTATGAAGCCATGCAGAGTTGGGTACTTATTATTATTTGTTATAGCCCCGTTCACTTTTTAATGTTAAAATTGTATCATTAATCAAATGCTGAGTGATTTCATGCAGTGACTACCAGGGCGAGTAAAGCCAATAGAGCTCATGTGATGTGCCTCCTGTCAGCTACTGTAGATGCAGTTAATCCTGATGAGCAATTTTCCAAATTTATATTTGTCTCTGAGCTAAATTTTATATTGCATGTATGACAAGTAGTGTACTTGTATGTGTGTGGGCACAGTAGTTCTTTTAAAAATGTCCCGAGCTGTGACAAATTAATTTTTAAAAGTACAAATTGTCAATGTAGCCTCTCAGTTACCGTACGTTCAAGAAAACGACACAATAATTATACATTCGATAAAGTACACGCTGCTTCAGATTGAATTTAACATCTCACACTACATGGCAGCACATAATTAGTATGTGATCTTCAAGCCCCTTCATGCAATTTGTATTAAAATAAAAATCAGGCAGTAAAAAAAATGTATTTGAGAAACTTTTGGGGACCATTTAAAATCAACTACCATATTTTCTATGAATCAAATTTAGTGTTATTTTTAAGACAAGAGGCACCTATGATATAATGCAAGGTTTTTATCCATTGTCAATTAATTTAATGAGGTTGTGATATATTCAATACTAGGGAAAGCTGACATTGTTCCAAAGAAGCACAATCAATAAAAACACGGGTAGCTTTGCAGTATCTCATAAAGGCTCACCTTATCATTGACGAGGAGCTCCATGGGGCTGTTTCCCCACTCTATCAGCACAATCTCATTGGCTTGTCCCGGGGCGCCGTAAGAGAATGGGGTCCCGATTCCAGGACTGGCGCTGGACTTGAGCCACATGCACACAGTGAAGGCGTACATCTCTGGCAGACTCTTCTTGATGCGGCCGTACAGGTAGTTTGTGCGCAGAGGCAGAGACACCTTAAAGTCCTCTGGAGATTTGAATGCATTGTTACCTGTGAAGAGAATCGAGGGAGAGGTTTGCATTGAAGGACAGAAAGATGCAAACTGCTGACTTGAGATTGTGTTAATTTGATTTCGGCAAATTGAATCTGAGTACGGCTTTCAGGTTCAATTATTGAAATGAGCGATCCATGCTGGCTCATGTAATTGTCCTAATATGAAATGACATGCTGGGGCTTTGTAAGGTGATATAATCATGTAGCTGCTGATGATGCATTGGTGTTAAAATTCGGAATACAACAGGACAGTGTGGCCATCCAGTGCTAACAGATGGGGTCTGCATTAATCCCATATCTAAAAAGGGCAAAAGGAGCGGTAAAGGCAAACAAATTATTGTAAATAGCACGCTAATTTACATGCAGACATTCTCACACCAGACTAAATCTGCCACAGCCAACACATTCTGAAGCAGTGGTACCTTTGTTTCATCTTACAACATTTTCATCATAAAAATGGCCCAATGCACTGAAGTTTATGCAGTGAAGCATTAGCTAAAGGTTTCACCTGATGTCTTGGTGAGCGCTGCAACAATGGCCTTTTCAAAGTGCAGCCAACGATTTACAAGCAATCTGCATGATGTATGCAATGCCTGTCTTTGCCATGACTGCTCCGAAGTTGAATTTTACACATTTATTAATTTACATGACCATTCAAAATGTTGGGGTCAGTAGGATAATTTTTTTTTTTTAAAGAAATGAATACTTTTATTCGTCGAGGAAGCATTAAATTGAGTAAAAGTGACAGTAAAGACATTTATAATGTTACAAAAAACCTATTTCACATAAATGCAATTCTTTTGAACATCACAGGGGAAAAATGAAATAATATTTCACAATATTACTGTTTTTACTGTATTTTGATCAAGTAAATGCAGCCTCGGTGAACAAAAAAGACATCTTTCAAAACCATTAAAAACTCTTAGCGACTTCAAAGTGTTGAACGGTATTTATTTCATTATTCATTTATTGTTGGTTCGTTTTGATTGTTTTCTGTTCAATACTTTCTCATCCTTGCTGTCATGTGATGTTTGTTTAGAATGCTTTCCCCTCAAGGACTGCTTTAGTTCTGTGATACATCAAAACAATCGGCAGGAATTGTTTTATCTTCTAAGCTCAAATACATATTTTCGCTGTGAACGTGTGTAAACCTCATGCTTGGTTTCTTTACCAGCTCGTTGCCCTTCGGTGGCGCTTTCTCCAACGGTTTCATGTGGCGTTTAAAGTGGTGCATGGCGCTTACATTGAGTTTGAAAGGGCTTCGACTAGTCTACCTATCCCATACTGGGGACAGCAGGTAAAAAGAGATGTTTGGTAGGGCACCACATCAGTGAAAACATGACTGACTCAATAATTCATGTCTGAGAGCAGCCGTACTATTCTCCAGCTCGGTGATCCTCTCCAGCAGTGAGCTGAGGGTGTTCTCGGTGCGCTGACGGTGAGTGGCTGTCTCGTTGTACAGCTGGCTCTTTTCCTCCTCGAGTTCGGCCACTCTGGTCAGCAGCTGGCTCTCCAGGTCAGTCAGACGGCGCTTCAGCAGCTCTCTCAGCTCGTTGGGAAACATTCCACCTGATGTGTTGGCACGCAGCTGCTGCTGCAAGACAAAAGACACCAAATATTAATCTGCCTCGTGCTGTTACAGGCAGAAATTGCTCATAATGAACTGCCGGGGATTTGTGAGATGCTGAATTAATGTTGAACGCTTTAAGGGGGTGTACACTACTATGTACTTCCATCAAATTATATTTAATATTAAATAATATTTAGATGCATGTAACATTTAAATGTTTATTCAAGTCAAAAATATAATTTTAAATCACAGAATCAACTTAATTACATTAATTTATACCAAACAAACAATTTTTTATGGGTTGAATCAAGTAGAAATACCTCTTTATGTTAAAAATTGAAGGTTACCACATTTTCATTGTAGATACAATGTACGTATTGTATTCAGTGCTGTACTACAAAACACTTGTGACTATTGAGGTGTGAAGAATATAATGTTAGGAACAGGTTTATTAGTATGGGTAGCTTTAAAGGTGGGTTAAGAACAAGAGTCAACAGTGATATTATAGGTTACACTTTATTTTAAGGTGTCCTTGTTACAGTGTAATTATACAATTAAGTACTGAGTAATATTAATTAACTACATGTACTTACTATATGGTTAGGTTTAGGGTTACTTGCAAGTAATTATGCATAATTAATTGTTATTTTTTATTAATTGTTATTAATTGGATTTTTTTTTATTGCCTAAAATGCCTGGGTTTTGGCTGTTTTTTACATTTCACATGTAAAATGTGTAACGAGGACACCTTAAATAAAGTGTTACCAAATTATACTGTAGTTGTAATTACAGGAATTAATTAGAGATGTAATTACAAGAAGGCATTTTTAAATATAAGCACACTGTAAAAACATGTCTGTACACGATAATTGTACATAGTAGTTGAAGACACCATGTGGGTCCATTTTTTTTAATCAAAATTAATAAACTAATTTAACTCCACCAGGGTGAAAATTAGTATTCATTTTGATCCAGGGACCCTGTATGAATTCAAGTAGTTCATATCGGTAATATTCCATATCCACTTGGCTATTAACAAGAAGTGATATGTCAATTGAGTAATACACCAAAATCTTCCAACAGCCTTGTCAATTGGTGCATTTGGTTTCAGCAATTCTGTGAATGTATAAATAGCTCTTTTTGTATTTTGCATGCAGCTATCCGCATTGTCATTGAAAAACGCAGTGGTCACTGATTGCAATTTCAACTAAAACACTCTTGGTTCCAAAATGGGGTTTGTGCATCGATGCCATAAGAACCATTTTGGGTTCCCCAAAGAACCTTTCAGTTTACAGTTCTTAAAAGAACCATTTTTTTCGCAGCTTGAAGGACATTTTAATAACTAACTTTATCATTTTCACTATAAATAACTTTTAGTGGTTCCATGGATGTTAGATGTTCTTAATGGAACCATTGATGCCAATTAAGAATCTTTATTTTTAAAAGTGACGAGCAAAGTTCTTTGCACTCTCAGTATATCTTTTAAATAATTGCTAAGTCTGTATCTGCTCACTACTTCCCATCTACAATATCAAAGCTCATTATTAATATTTCATTCAAATCGTGAATTCAAATAGAAAAAGTCCCTCCCTCCCTCCATGTAACATGGCTCATATGACCTTGTTTTGACAGATGTAAATCAAGCATCACTAATAAACAGTGTTGGGGAAAGTTACTTTTAAAAGTAATGCATTACAATATTGCGTTACGCCATAAAAAAGTAACTAATTACGGTACTTAGTTACTTTTTATGGAACTGTTGGTTACAGTGTTTACTTCCTTTTTAATTATATTTTTATTAAATATTTATTTATTTGTGAAAAATACTTTGTCATCTAAAGTATAAGTATGTTTATTTTACACACTTATTTTTTAATCCATTGTCAAATGATTTCAAATTTCTTAAATATTAATTAAAATTAAATACAAATTATATCGGCTTTATATCGGCTATCGGCCACCCTGCTTTCCAAGATATCGGCATCGGCTGTCAAAAAAACAATATCGGTCGACCACTAACCACTACATCTAACTATGGATGCCATGAATCAACCATTCATTGTTTGGATTTATGAAGCCATGCAGAGTTGGGTACTTATTATTATTTGTTATAGCCCCGTTCACTTTTTAATGTTAAAATTGTATCATTAATCAAATGCTGAGTGATTTCATGCAGTGACTACCAGGGCGAGTAAAGCCAATAGAGCTTATGTGATGTGCCTCCTGTCAGCTACTGTAGATGCAGTTAATCCTGATGAGCAATTTTCCAAATTTATATTTGTCTCTGAGCTAAATTTTATATTGCATGTATGACAAGTAGTGTACTTGTATGTGTGTGGGCACAGTAGTTCTTTTAAAAATGTCCCGAGCTGTGACAAATTAATTTTTAAAAGTACAAATTGTCAATGTAGCCTCTCAGTTACCGTACGTTCAAGAAAACGACACAATAATTATACATTCGATAAAGTACACGCTGCTTCAGATTGAATTTAACATCTCACACTACATGGCAGCACATAATTAGTATGTGATCTTCAAGCCCCTTCATGCAATTTGTATTAAAATAAAAATCAGGCAGTAAAAAAAATGTATTTGAGAAACTTTTGGGGACCATTTAAAATCAACTACCATATTTTCTATGAATCAAATTTAGTGTTATTTTTAAGACAAGAGGCACCTATGATATAATGCAAGGTTTTTATCCATTGTCAATTAATTTAATGAGGTTGTGATATATTCAATACTAGGGAAAGCTGACATTGTTCCAAAGAAGCACAATCAATAAAAACACGGGTAGCTTTGCAGTATCTCATAAAGGCTCACCTTATCATTGACGAGGAGCTCCATGGGGCTGTTTCCCCACTCTATCAGCACAATCTCATTGGCTTGTCCCGGGGCGCCGTAAGAGAATGGGGTCCCGATTCCAGGACTGGCGCTGGACTTGAGCCACATGCACACAGTGAAGGCGTACATCTCTGGCAGACTCTTCTTGATGCGGCCGTACAGGTAGTTTGTGCGCAGAGGCAGAGACACCTTAAAGTCCTCTGGAGATTTGAATGCATTGTTACCTGTGAAGAGAATCGAGGGAGAGGTTTGCATTGAAGGACAGAAAGATGCAAACTGCTGACTTGAGATTGTGTTAATTTGATTTCGGCAAATTGAATCTGAGTACGGCTTTCAGGTTCAATTATTGAAATGAGCGATCCATGCTGGCTCATGTAATTGTCCTAATATGAAATGACATGCTGGGGCTTTGTAAGGTGATATAATCATGTAGCTGCTGATGATGCATTGGTGTTAAAATTCGGAATACAACAGGACAGTGTGGCCATCCAGTGCTAACAGATGGGGTCTGCATTAATCCCATATCTAAAAAGGGCAAAAGGAGCGGTAAAGGCAAACAAATTATTGTAAATAGCACGCTAATTTACATGCAGACATTCTCACACCAGACTAAATCTGCCACAGCCAACACATTCTGAAGCAGTGGTACCTTTGTTTCATCTTACAACATTTTCATCATAAAAATGGCCCAATGCACTGAAGTTTATGCAGTGAAGCATTAGCTAAAGGTTTCACCTGATGTCTTGGTGAGCGCTGCAACAATGGCCTTTTCAAAGTGCAGCCAACGATTTACAAGCAATCTGCATGATGTATGCAATGCCTGTCTTTGCCATGACTGCTCCGAAGTTGAATTTTACACATTTATTAATTTACATGACCATTCAAAATGTTGGGGTCAGTAGGATAATTTTTTTTTTTTAAAGAAATGAATACTTTTATTCGTCGAGGAAGCATTAAATTGAGTAAAAGTGACAGTAAAGACATTTATAATGTTACAAAAAACCTATTTCACATAAATGCAATTCTTTTGAACATCACAGGGGAAAAATGAAATAATATTTCACAATATTACTGTTTTTACTGTATTTTGATCAAGTAAATGCAGCCTCGGTGAACAAAAAAGACATCTTTCAAAACCATTAAAAACTCTTAGCGACTTCAAAGTGTTGAACGGTATTTATTTCATTATTCATTTATTGTTGGTTCGTTTTGATTGTTTTCTGTTCAATACTTTCTCATCCTTGCTGTCATGTGATGTTTGTTTAGAATGCTTTCCCCTCAAGGACTGCTTTAGTTCTGTGATACATCAAAACAATCGGCAGGAATTGTTTTATCTTCTAAGCTCAAATACATATTTTCGCTGTGAACGTGTGTAAACCTCATGCTTGGTTTCTTTACCAGCTCGTTGCCCTTCGGTGGCGCTTTCTCCAACGGTTTCATGTGGCGTTTAAAGTGGTGCATGGCGCTTACATTGAGTTTGAAAGGGCTTCGACTAGTCTACCTATCCCATACTGGGGACAGCAGGTAAAAAGAGATGTTTGGTAGGGCACCACATCAGTGAAAACATGACTGACTCAATAATTCATGTCTGAGAGCAGCCGTACTATTCTCCAGCTCGGTGATCCTCTCCAGCAGTGAGCTGAGGGTGTTCTCGGTGCGCTGACGGTGAGTGGCTGTCTCGTTGTACAGCTGGCTCTTTTCCTCCTCGAGTTCGGCCACTCTGGTCAGCAGCTGGCTCTCCAGGTCAGTCAGACGGCGCTTCAGCAGCTCTCTCAGCTCGTTGGGAAACATTCCACCTGATGTGTTGGCACGCAGCTGCTGCTGCTGCAGGACAAAAGACACCAAAATATGAATCTGCCTCATGCTGTTATAGCCAGAAATCATTCATAATGAAACTGCTGGGGATTTGTGAGATGCATGTTGAACGCTTTACGGGGGTCCTACTTTATATTAGGCATCTTCAACTACTATGTACTTCGGTCAAATTATATTTAGATGTATGTAGCATCTAAATGTGACATCTAAATTAACTGGTTTTATTCAAGTCAAAAATATACTCAAACATCACTGAATCAACCTAATTCGATTAATTTTTACCAACAAAACTACATTTTATGGGTTAAATCAGGTAGAAATATCTCTTTATGTTAACAATTGAAGGTTACCACCTTTTCAGTGTGTGTACAATGTACTTATCGTGTACTGCAAAACACTTGCAACTATTGAGGTGTGAAGCATGTGCGGTTAGGGACAGGTTTAGTGGTATGGGTAGGTTTAAAGGTGGGTTAAGAACCAGGATCAACAGTGTAATTATAGGTAACTCTTTATTTTAAGGTGTCCTTGTTACACGTTACATGCACTTACTATTATAATCACAATTAATTATGCATAATTACATGCAAGTAACCCTAATCCTAACACTAAAATAAAGTGTAACCTAATTATACTGTGGATGTAATTACAGATGCAATTGCATATAAATATAAAGGTTACACTTTATTTTAAGGTCTCCTTGTTAGAGTGTAATTATAAATTTAAGTACATGAATTTACTATAGGGTTAGGATTAGGGTTATTTGCATGTAATTATGCATAATTGATTGTTATTATAATAGCAAGTACACATAACATGTGTAACAAGGACACCTTAAAATAAAGTGTTTCCAATATAAACACTCTCTTAAAATATGCACAATAATTAAATGTTAGTACATAGTAGTTAAAGACACCATGTGTCCGTTTTCTTTAATTAAAAGGGGTTGTTGTTCTGTTAAATTAATTTGTTTCATGTTGAGTGACCAGAGTGAAAACTAGTATTCACTATTACCCAATGACCCAGTATGTAGTTTTTCATATTGGTATAGTGCTCAATATATTTGTCAAGTTGATAAACCATCCATATCCACTTGGCTATTAACAGAAGTCATATGTCATTTGAGGTAATACCTTCTAATACCTTTTTTTTTTTTGGTAGAAAAATTGCTTTGTCAGTTGATGCATGCCAGAAATTCTGTGTATGATTTGCTATTTTTGTATTTTGAAAACACAATTCTTTGAAAAACGCATAGTTGTCCAACTCTGATTGCGATTCAACTAAAACACTCTTAAATTAAGGTTCTAAAGTGGGATTGTTGCATCGATGCCAGAGAAGAACCATTTTGGGTTACAATTCTTAAAAGAACCACTTTTTTTTCGCAATGTGAAGGACATTTTAATCATCTACTGCAAAGAACTTCCACTATAGAGAACCTTTAGTGGTTCCATGGATTTGAAAGGTTCTTCCATCAAAAGGAACCTTTCTTTTTTTAAAGTGAAGAGCAAAGTTCTTATTCTTAGTCACAACTTCCCATATACACTACACATGTTTGTGATTGCTATTGAATTCAAAACGGAAATTCAAAAAGGGAAAAGTCCCTCCCTCCACGTAACATACTGACAGGCGTAAATCAAGCATCACTAATAAGCAAGCCCAAATTTCACAGATCATTACAGCTCTAATGGATGGCTCTCGAGTGCCCATTATCACTCCTAAGCGTAAACTCTCACCTCCAGGTTCTCCAGTCGGTCTTTGAGGCTCTGCATGGTCTTGCCCAGCTGCTGCACAGTCTCGGTGGGGTCACGCGGCAGATCACCCATCGTGTTTTTACTGTAGTCCTTCCTGCGCGCGCTGCCCCGGGACCCGGCGTCCGCCTCGCAGCGCGCGAGTTTGGAGTTGAGCTCTTTGATGGTGCCCTGCTGACTGACGATAGTTTCCTTCTGCTGCAGGATGGTCTCTCGAAGCTGAATGATAGTATTCCGCAACTCTTCCTCCTGCGGACTAGTGCTTTGGACCCGGCTGCTGGTGTCCACCGGGCAACTGAGGTCGGTGCCCGCCGGCACGGCCGTGCACACGAAGCGGGTTCCTTTCGCGCCGCGCGCGCCAGCCGCTCCGCCGCTCCCTGACGCGTATAGAAGCAGCAGCGGCACAAAAAGAGCTCTCATTACGACGCTTCTCTCTTAAAAACGCATGCAACTTGAGTCAATTCAGTTAGTTGGACTGAAAAAAGACGTTTAGCGTAGAATCAACGAAATTCCACAATAAAATCAGGTCTGCAAAAAAACATTTGAGTATGCTATTTAAATAATAACAACAGCAAAATGCGTACAGCAACACGTCACGCTAAGAAAAATCACTCAAAACAAGCATAACAGCGAAAAAACAGAGATTAGGTGTAATTGGTCCTGGCGCGTCAAACGCATTTAACTCCCTGCCACTTTAACAAAAGCACTCCAAAACAAGTAGCTGTTCAGACGTTAAATGCCGACTCGTAACTCTCTTCACGCAGTCTGTGGTGCTGAACGGACAGCGGCGCTTTAAAGGATTAATATGAGACTCCGGCGCGCGCAGTTTGGCTCCGCTGGAGGAGCGCGCGGATTGACTGAGCTTCATCTGCGTCACTTAACTCGCGCTTGATGCGAGTCACGCTTGTGCATTACATTGCCGTGGCTTTTCCTGGCCCTCCGTGAATGTCGCGTTGAATAAACAGTGCGCTGAGCAGATGCAGAGAGCTCTTTTATAAACTGCAATTTCTCGGCCAATTTAAACTTCATGTTCTGTTGAGATAACGTACTTCAATATCGGTTTGGGTCCAAGATGATTCGTGCATCACGTTAAACCCCATTGGCAACAGTTGGTTAAACGTAAAAAGGTGCAGAAAAGTGAAGTTAAGTCTGGGTCTGGTGGATCTCATCCTTTTCATTGGTCCCCCAATGTCAATGCCCTCATACTGTACACAGAATTGTTTGTCTTGAACTTATGCTAAAATAACAAAATTAAGAGCTAAGTTGTGTAGCAAATTATTTACTATACACTATAGACTTCAACTGTTTTGTAAATTATTACATTATCTATAATTTTTTTAATGATGTACTATTCACTTAAATTAAAGTGGTCATATGATGCAATTGTTCCTTTCTCTTTGGAGTGTTACAAGCTCTCGGTGCATAAAGAAGATCTGTAAAGTTGCAAAGACTAAAGTCTCAAATCCAAAGAGATATTCTTTATAAAAGTTAAGACTCGTCCACGCCCTCCTAAAACGGCTCGTTTAAACACGCCCCCACATGTCTACATCACTATGTGGGAAGATTTGCATAACGCCGCCCAAATGTTCACGCAAAGAAAGAAGGCGTAACTTTTATTCTCGCTGTAGTATTGTTGTTGCTGCCGTCATGTCGTGAAGACGCTGTGTGTTTCGTTGTGAAAGCGAAACTACTTTGTTTGGTCTTCCAAAAGAGGACACGACTAGAAATCAGTGGTTAAGTTGTATTTACAACACTGTTCCAGAACACTTCAACCCTAATATTCAGATGTGTGCAGCACATTTTATGGAGGACTGTGTCCTGATCCTGGGAGAGTAACGTTAGACTACAATGCCGGCAGTTCTGACTCACGTAGGTACATTTTTATTTAAAGGATTTGTCACTGATGATTCAAACGTGAGTTTTGGGCAGTGTAGAGTAGGGCATAGAGGAGAAACAATAATGTACAGTATGTGGAAAATAATGTGTTTTTTTACTTTAAACCACATAAACACATTTCATTACACCAAATACACAAAATAATGTTCTTTTTAGCAACATCATATGACCCCTTTAAAATAAAATGCATCATGATGGTATTTAAAGTGGTCTTCTTGTTATAATTTCGCAGAGTGTGAACACACTTCCCACACTGTTTAAACTACATAGAACAACCCAGTCTCATAAAAATATGTACCTCTGGGTGCTTTTCTGCAACACCGTTTTTACGTACTTACTGCACGTTTCGCCGCAGTTTCAAAGAGAAATGTCCACTGAGTGGCGCTAAAACACGGGTTCAATACGTCAACCCTGGCACGTTTTTATTACGTTGATATAGGTACGTATTGCTGTGTTTGTATTACGTTGCTTCAGGTACGTATTGCGACGGTTCCGAATTCAAATATCCGGGGACTGTCGTTAAAAGTTAATGCTCTGTGTTGGAAATATGCCCTACACCAAACCAAACCCAAACCTAAACCTACCCAATAGTGTTAACAAATGCAAAACTGATGTAAAAACTCATTTGTTGATGCAACCATGCCATTTGAACTTCCTTATATGCAGATTTGAACCGTTTTGTCGAACCGTAGTTACACGGGATTCGAACCGGAGCTCCTCACCGTCTCCGTACTCCGCGAGCTACCGAACAAACCTACCGTCGATGAAAACCCATTGATATGAAGCTGGATATGTACGGTGCTAACGTTCAAAAGCATCAGTTTTCAAATCTCCCAGCATATTCAAATTGTTTTGAAGTCATAACATGATATCCATCAAGTAATTGTGCGAAAGTTACGCTTTATTAATCGAAACTCTGTAAATGTGTGTGAAAAGGAATAAAAGGTGTCGGAGTTTTACTGCCTCTAGTGTTCATTTATTTTGGAAACGGCAGTGATATGTACTTATTGGTACGTATTTTGCGTCTCGCGAAAATGTGCCCCCGGGGACGTTTGTGCCGTGAGACCAGGTTGACATAGAATATGGTGACCATATGTGCTCTTTTTCCAGATTTTTTATTGCCTAAAATGTCTGGGTTTTGGCTTTGTTTACCTATTGTTTTTCTCATTGCTCAAGGTGACTGAAAAGCAGTTTGACCAATAGCGTTCACGCATTGAACGTAATCGACCTGTCGTGGCGTGAAGGTGGGATCTATAGAGAATGGTCAAAGAGCAATGCAAATACATGTAGGCTTACATATGGGATGTGTCCGAAAGTTGAAATATGCTGCCTGAAGGCAACAAGGCCTGTCCGAATCCAGTGATCAGATCACTGAGATTCCTTTATTTGAACGATTTTTGAAGGCAGAACAGATGTATCTTTCGCAGCCTTTGATATCCCACAATCCTGTGCGTTCGATTCCATGACAGTTGAGCTAGAAAATAAAGGGGGCATCTGAAAGTTGTGGTTGGTGGGCAGTCTGTGTGCAAATTTACGTTTTGACCAACTTTTTCCACTCGTGATGTAATTTTTAGCGAGACATTAGTATTGTAGTGATTCAAGGAAAAAAAATAATAATGCATGGCCGCTTAGAACTTCCGTAGTAAAGGGTCCTATTATGCCCTTTTTAAAGATGCAATATAAGTCTTAGTTCAAGCTTAAAGTTTCAGCTCCAAATACACCACAGAATATTTATTATTCCACGCTGAAAATTTCCCCGTTTTTGGGTGGAAACATAAACATGCTGCTTTCGTGTGTGTTTCTTTAAATGCAAATGAGCTGCTGCTCTCCACCCCCTTTCCTGAAAAGGGTGGAGCTTGGTTACTACAGTGACAACAAACAAAACGTCTGACTCACGTTCATGGCATTGCAGTTCTTCATTGTCATCATAAAAAGTTTATTATTTGCATGCATTTATGTCACCCTGACGTAGCTCTTTCTACATGCTTTGTGATTTTTGGCCTGGGTTGTGAAATGGATTACGGTCTGTGTGTCCACTCACGCTCATCTTGTTTTGCTCAGCATTTGGACAGATCTAAAATGCAGTCTGCTGAATGTTTTATCTGTGTGTACGTCTGGAATCTTTCCTTAAAGGAATATTTCACACCAAAAATGAAGGGATTCTCATGCCGTATGACTCCCGCCCCCCACAAACACAAAAAGAGAAGTTTAGCAGAATGTCCAAGCAGCTCTGTTCCATAAAATAAAAGTATTTAGTGACCATGGCTTTTCAAGCTCCTAAGAAATAGTCCATATGTGCTATATTGCTGTTTATGTCATAAGACTTCTAATGTTATAGACTGTGAACAATGATTATTTGAAGTTGGGAAAAAAACTATTATTGGAGTATGTTTTACAAGAAAATACTATTTCAGTTTTTCTGCTTAAAAATTGCATGTTTAATTCAATGTGTTACTTGCTGTTTTCTGTAATCGTTTGTGAAATTTACTAGCAATTTCTGAGTGAAAAATAATTTCTACAGCAAATGTCTTCAGTGTTCGACAGCTCTGTGTGAGGAACAGACCAAAATTACAGTTCATACTCACAAAAAAATCATGTCCACTGTCATATCTATAAAACCTCATTTGCACATATTCTTCTTCTTCTCAATCAATAAAGAAATCAATAAAGAGTTGTATGATGAATCACAACATCACAACTACTTGGAAAACTGAAAAAAAGTATATGATAGTTGACTTAAATCAATGACTTTTATTCAGTAGTTTTCCTGTCTATTCTGATTTGATTCAAGGAAAGAGATTTTAAGTAAAAACACAACAATATTTAATTTCTTCTAGTTGTTCTAAGCCTGTACAGGGTTTTTTTCTTCTGTTGAATACAAAAGAAGATATTCTGAAGAATGTTGGTAACCAAACAGTTGACGGTAGCCATTGACTTCCATAGCATGAAAAAATACTATGAAGATCAATGGCTACCGTCAACATTTTTCAAAATATCTTCTTTTATGTTCAGCAGAATCAAGAAACTCATATGTTTGGAACAATATTAGGGTGAGTAAATATTTTTCAGAATTTTCATTTTTTGGATAAATTATTCCTTTAACAATCTCTGAACTCATAGTACTGTAAGTCAGTCTTGCAAGGTTTAAACATGAACTCATAATTCCCTATGGAGAAAATGAACAGGATCATAACGTTGGAACCCTGCTGTTGCACCCTCATATTTTTCATTGGTTTCATAACCAGACAAACTGCAGTTTGAATGTATGGAATTGTGAACGAAATGTGTTCCTCTGAAGAAAGAAAGCCATGTGGGTTCAGAATGACACGATGGTGAATAAATAATGTCAGAACTGACATTTTCAGTCAACTAACCCTTCATAGTGTCCTAATGTTGTCAGAATGCTGGCCACCAGAGTAACTCAGAAATGTATATAAATATTTTATAAGTGCCACCGGAGTCATGCAGAGATTTTTCTTTGCTGTGAAATCAGAGTATTGTGCACAGTAAATCACTGAAGGACAATAAGTGGGAAGGCAGATGAAACACATTGCAGAAATATAGCACTTCAAGAGATCACCTGCATTCTCCATAGCAATACTTTATCTCAAGAACACACACAGCTTAGAGGATCTAAATATCTATTTTTTCTGTTGACCACAGCAGATTCAGACGTGACAAAAGCGCTTTGAACATAAATCCTCTTTCTGTATAACGTGCAACCACCGGTGAATCTTGTTTTCCATTCTTAAGATAAAATAACACGAGAAGCAGCAGTACTTGGATGAAATCAAATTGACATTTCAAAAGCATGCAGAATCCAGTACGCTTTGATGTGAAGTGTGCCGTCAATAGAGAAGTTTCAATATTACCAATTTCTCTGAG